ACCTAACAACAACAATCTTTATGGAAGCAGACCGCCACATCTTTCTCCTGCGAGGTGGCTGGTGGGTTCGAAATACCCACTTTTCAATTTGCAGCCGAGCTCCAACTACTGTTTTTCCATCCATGCCTAAGTCCACTCAAAACTCAAAGTCCCAGAACAAGAGAGAAAGCTTATTAGCTTCACTTGGGTGGAGGATTCTCCTTGCCTAGAAGGCAGAGGCCCTGATTTAAAGTTCCTCCAAAACTGCACTCAACAGGGAGAAGTAATTCCTCCAAATCAGGATGCTGTTACTGAAAGAAATGAGAAAGGACACTGGATGGCCAGAGAAATGCATAATCACAATAACAGGCTCTGTAAAACATAATAAATAAAATAATAGTAGAACCCAAGACTAATTGTAAGGTAAGTGTTAACAGGGGCTCTAAGAGGGCAAGTTATTAACCTAAGACTCAACTCCCTCATAAAAAACTACTATAATTTTAATGCTTACCTTGTCTTTGTCATCTAGTGCTGCTATAACAGAAATACCACAAGTGAATGGCTGTAACGAAAGAAATTTATTCTCTCAGTCTAGGAGGCTAGGAGTCCAAGTTCAGGGTGCCAGCTCCAGAGGAAGGCTTTCTCTGTCAGCTCTGGGGGAAGGTCCTTGTCATCAATCTTCCTCTGCTCTACTTATCAGTGTAGGAACCCCGGGTCTAAAAGACATGCTATGCTCCCAGTGCTTCTTTCTTGGTGGTATGAGATCCCCCTATCTCTCTGCTCTCTTCTCTCTTTTCTATCTCAAAAGAGATTGACTTAAAACACAATCCAATCTTGTAGATTGAGTCCTGCCTCATTAACATAACTGCTGATAACCTCATCTCATTAACATCACAAAGATAGGACGTACAACACATAGGAAAATCACATCAGATGACAAAATGGTGGACAACCACACAGTACTGGGAATCATGGCCTAACCAACTTGACAGATATTTTGGGGGGACACAGTTCAATCCATGACACACCTAATAAGATGTTTATTAAGATTAAATGAGATAAAGTAAATGTCATTCTTAGCACAATGCCTAGCATATAACACATGCCTCCTATACACATATAGTTGGGAAAATATTTACACATTGTGAGAAAGAAACAGCAAGTTGGCAATATGGCAAGTGTAATCCCATCTCTGAAAAAACAAATGTGTGTGTGTAAATATGAGCAATGTAAACATATATAGTTTTTAAAGCTGGGAAAAATATACCTCAAACTTCAGCAGTAGTTCTTCTGGAGGAGTGTTTTAAGAATTTGGTTTGGGTGTAGGAAGGGAGAATTCACCTATTACCTAAATAAAAATGAAAATGATTTGAGTTTTTAACATCAAGTTTATTTTATGCCTTTACTTGAGTAGGGAAAATATAATTGAATGTTTATTTACTGTGTCCTGACTGTATACACAATTAAGAGTTAGGCACACATGTTGACAAAAATCACATCTGCTTTCAAATTTCTTAAAATCCAATCAAAAAGGTAGGCCATTTATTTAAGATGGTAAGTAGCAACATAAGGTTGGTAGACTGTTAACAGCCAACTAGCTGATATAGACAAGAAGCCCTTACAAGAATTCTACGGAAGAAGCCATCACCAAAGGCCAGGGGTACTGGAAAAGACATGATGGAGAAGACAGAGCGTAAGTCTGGTCATGAAACCACCAACCGGTTGCTGTTGAGTCAGCTCCGACTCATGGTGACCCTGCATGTGTCAGAACATAACTGTGCTCCATAGCATTGTCAAGGGCTAATTTTTCTGAAGTAGATCACCAGGCTTTTTTTCCGAGGCACCTCTGAGTGAACTTGAACCTCCAACCTTTCAGTTAGGAGCCCAGTTCATGTACCATTTGCATCACCCAGGGGCTCATGAAACAAGGACTAAAATAGGTAGAGAGGAAGGGCGTTGGCATCCCAGCCAGAGAGAGAGTGAAGAAAAGGGAAATTGGAGGTGGGGATGCTGGAGACATAACCATTGAACAGGAGTAGGTCATTTTGGCTAGAGAAACAGGTTTACACAGTCTAGGACTGAGAAATGTGGTAGACCAGGCTGTGGTTGGCATTAAATGCTAGGAGGAGAATTTGGCTTTATCTTATGGGCACTGGGGAGCCTCTGAAAGCTTTCCAGCTGAGGAGTGATACATGCTTCTCAATACTTCAGGAAAAAAAACAAAAACAAAAACAAAAACAAACCTCTGATGGTTACAAGGGAGGGAAGGGGTGGGGAGAAGAAATCACTAACTAGATAGTATACAAGTGTTAACTTTGGTGAAGGGAAAGACAATACACAACATAGGGGAAGTTAGCACAACTTGACCAAGGCAAAGTCACAGAAGCTTCCTAGACACATCCAAACACCCTGAGGGATAGAGTTACTGGGGCTGAAGGCTGCAGACCATGGTCTTGGGGGACATCTAGGTCAATTGGCATAATAGAGTCCATAAAGAAAATGTACTCCATCCTACTTTGGTGAGTAGTGTCTGGGGTCTTAAAGGCTTTCGAGCGGTCATCTAAGATACATCTATTGAAAAAAAAGATACATCTATTGGTCCCAACCCGTCCAGAGCAAAGGAGAATGAAGAAAACCAAAGACACAAGGAATTAGTCTAAAAGACTAATGGACCACATAAACCACAGTCTCCACCAGCCTGAGCCCAGAAGAACTAAATGGTGCCTGTCTACCACCACCAACTGCTCTGACAGGGATCACAACAGAGAGTTTCAGACAGAGCGGGAGAAGAATGTAGAACAAAATTCAAATTCATAAAAAAAGACCAGACTTACTGGTCTGACATAGCCTGAAGGAACCCTGGAGACTATGGCTCCTGGACACTCTGCTAACTCAGAACTGAAACTACTCCCAAAGTCCACTTTTCAGACAAAGATTAGACAGACCTATAAAACAAACAATAACACAGATGAGGAACACGCTTCTTAGTTCAATCAAATATTCAAGACCAAAGGGGCTACTCCTGCCCAAAAGCAAGATGAGAAGGCAGGAAGGGACAGGAAAACTGGACAAATGGACATGGGGAAACCAGGGTGGAGAGGAGGAGTGTGCTGTCACATTGTGGGGATAGCAACCAATGTCACAAAATAATGTGTATAAATTTTTGAGTGAGAAAATAACTTGAGCTGTAAATTTTCACCTAAAGCACACACACCAAAAAAAAGGAAAAAGGCAATTCTTTTTTTTATTGTTGTACTTTAAGTGAAAGTTTACAATTCAAGTTACTCTCATAAAAAATTTATACATACATTGTTATGTGACCCTAACTGCTCTCCCTATACTATGACAGCACACTCCTCCTTCCCACCCGTGATTTCCCGTGTCCATTCAACCAGCTCCTGACCCTCTCTGCCTTCTCATCTCACCTCTGGACAGAAGCTGCCCATTTAGTCTCATGTATCTACTTGAGCTAAGGAGCAAACTCATCACAAGTATCATTTTACGTCCCATAGTCCAGTCTAATCTTTGTCTGAAGAGTTGATCTCGGGAATGGTTTTAGTTCTAGGTTGACATAGAGTCCAGTGGCCATGCTTTCTGGGGTTCCTCCAGTGTCAGTCAGACCATTAAGTCTGGTCTTTTTACGTGAATTTGAGTTCTGCACTCCACTTTTCTCCTGCTCCATCAGGGACTCTCTGTTGTGTCCCCTGTCAGGGCAGTCATTGTTGGTAGCTGGGCACCATCTACTTCCTCTGGTCTCAGGCTGATGCAGTCTCTGGTTTATATGGCCCTTTCTGTCTCTTGGGCTAATACTTTCCTATGTCTTTGGTGTTTTTCATTCTCAAAAGGCAATTCTTGATGACAACTGGCATGTAGGGGACAAGGACAACTCCAAGCTTTATAAGTCTACGGAACGCAAAGAATGATTTTTTGGAGGGAGCTAAGCTTCAAACGACATATTGCATTGGGCAAATCTGCTGCAAAAGGACCTCTTTAAAGTGTTAAAAAGCAAAGACGACACTTTAAGGACTAAGGCGTGCCTGACCCAAACCATGGTATTTTCAATTGCCTCATACACATGAGAAAGTTAGACAATGAATAAGGAAGACTGAAGAAGAATTGATGCCTTTGAATTATGGTGTTGGTGAAGAATATTGAATATAGCGTGGACTGCCAGAAAAACAAAAGTCTGTCTTGGAAGAAGTATGGCCAGAATGCTCCTTGGAAGCGAGGATGGCGAGACTTCGTCTCATGTACTTTGGACATGTTATCAGGAGGGACTAGTCCCTGGAGAAGGACATCATGCTTGGTAAAGTAGAGGGTCAGTGAAGAAGAGGAAGACCCTCAATGAGATGGATTGGCATAGTGGCTGCAACAACAGGCTCAAGCATACGAACAATTGTGAGGATGGCACAGGACGGGGCAGTGGTGTTTCATTCTGTTGTACACAGGGTCACTATGAGTCAGAACCGACTCGACAGCACCTAACAACAACAACAACAAGCTTCAAAGGAGGAGCCCTGGTGGGGCAGTGATTAAGTGCTTGGCCGCTAACCGAAAGGACGGCGGTTCGAACCTACTAGCCACTCCAAAGGAGAGAGATGTGGCAGTCTGCTTCCATAAAGACTACAGCAAGGGGTTTGGGCTTTTTGGTTTTAAGCTTCAAAGGAAGGAGCCCTGGTGGTGCAACTGTTAAGTGCTCAGCTACTAATGGAAAGGTTGGTGGTTTGAACCCATCAGTGGCTCCACAGGAGAAAAGACCTGGTGATCTACTTCTGTAAAGATTACAGTCTAGGAAACTCTCTGTCACATGGGGTTGCTATGGGTCAGAATCGACGATCGCACCAACAATAACTGGCTCCAAAGATGAAGAGCAAACTCTCTTGGAGGAATACTCCAGAGAAGCTGTTCTTAACCTAGCTTGGAAGGCAGTCCCAGAGCCTTTTAGGAATCTGAGGAAAGAATGGCCCTTCTCAACAGAAATGCACACACACACACACAAGCATGCACAAACTAAACACACACACCATTTAACTGGGTTCATGAACTTCAGTTAACTATTGCCCGAAATATCCCATGTAAATAATTCACTAACAAACATTTCTATAGTAGAAATTTTATTTCCATTCATAAAATATATCACTAAATAGCTGAAAAAGTTACATATTGTTTTAAAACATAGATTTAGAAAATCATATTAGCTTCTTAGCAAAATGCTTTTGTTTTATATATTTACAAGAATATACTCGACTTCTGGTACACAATATTCACGCAGCCAGCCAGAGAAGACCTTTGGGTGGAGGTGCTCAAGGAAGGTGATGATCAGCTCTTCCTGCCTTGTGCCAAGGATGGTTTGGTTTTACAAAAGTCCCTTTGAAAACAAGAGTAAATACAGACAGCTCCTAGAGAAAAGTCCAGCAAAGCAGCAGTTGATAATAGATTTTTTCTTAGTGATGAACTTAACCTCGTTCTGGTAATCTACAGCCTCTTTAAGGTAGGCGGGGAATGAAGTTCTTAAGACTAATTTGTTTTTCTCTATGAATCTTCAGCCTGAGCCTGTGGAGAGGGTGCCCCTGAATTCATTTCTTGGCTGCAAGGTCGCCTGTTTTGGTAGATGGAAGGACGTTCCAAGATACGGCCATCCATGTTCTGATACATCTGAATAGGAGAAAGAGACAGAATACTGGTTACTATCTGCTCAAGACTTCAGCACCATGCGTCTCTATTGCAAATCATATAAAATAAAATAACTCCTACTTTTATCAGGCATAGGTCTTAGAGGGTAGTCTACATATTAACTGACGAAGCAATTTGGGCCCTTTTATTCATGGAGAAATCAAGCCATAGTAAAATATTTTATTTCCTTCTTGTTTCTACTCTGAGACTCAAATGTCATTCTAGAAACCCAAAAGCAATGCAGAGAAACCATAAGAGACAGACCACAAAAAGAGATCTGTTCACTATGCAACTAATACAGGGGACTGGATCATGAAGTTTTGCTTGGGAGTTCAGTAGCTTTAAATTGTTTTTTCCAAGTGAAAATAGCTTTACTTTTCCCTTCTGATGATAAAGATAATACTTGTTCATACAGATAGTATTAAGCAATAAAGGCATAAAGAAAAAAGCTAAAATCACCAGAAATAACCACCATTATAAGGTATCTTGCCAGGCACACACAATTTTGCATCCGGAGGTTCAGGCTCTGTATTGTTCTGTTTTTGCTGTTAGCTGCCATTGAGTCGGCCCCTGACTTATGGCGATCTTACAATGGAATTGGACCGTTGTGATCAATAGGGTTTTCATGGGCTGATTTTCAGAAGGAGATTGCCAAGCCTTTCTTTCTAATCTATCTTAGTCTGGAAGCTCTGCTGAAATCTCTTTAGCGTCAAAGCAACACACGTCTCCACCGACAAATGGGTGGTGGCTGCACATGAGGAGCATTGGCCAGGAATCTAACCCAGGTCCCCTACACGGAAGGCGAGAATTCTGCCTCTGAACCACCACTGCCCCGTATATGGTTCTAGAGCCTTATTTTTAAATTACCAATGTACTGTTACTACATTGTTCATATGTTACATATTTTCACTATTCGCTAAAGATGGCTACATGTCATCTTTTCAATGGCAGCCTAGGGTTCCACAGTACTGATGGACCATAATTAACCTTTTGGTGGGTTGGTTGTATAATACAAACTGAAATGTGTACACTTGACCTACTCTGCCCTTGGGGTAAATGAAGGATATGGAAGTGCTGGATCAAAGGGAATATACATTTGAATTGTGATACACTCTGCCAGACAGCCAGAGAGGCTGTACTTATTTCTACTCCTACCAACGGTTCCTAGGAGCACGGTTTTCTCCAGACTCCGACCAACAGTGGTATTAACAGCCTTTTACATCTCTGCCCCTTTGATAAGCAACACGTTTGGCCCCTTACCTGTGTATGTTCTATTATAAGCAAAGCTGTTATTTCCTATATTTAATGGCTCTTTGTATTTCATTGTCAATAGCCTGTTTCTCTCCTTTGCTTTCTTATATTAGGCTATACATGTTTTTTTTTTAATTGATTTATATGAGTTCTTTGTATTTTAGGGATCCTGCATTCTTTATTTATATTCTACAGACTCCCTCCCTCCCTCCAGCTTTGCTTCTATTTATTTCCTTTATTTTTGTTAGTTTTTTTTTGATAGTTATAGTGTTAACTGACTGGACTGTCTCCTGATGTTAATTTTTCTCCCTAGAAAATGGAAAAAATATATCCTTATGAACCCAGTGCTGCACAGTAACAGCTTGCTCATACCCTTAAGGACAAACTATAACTCTTAATACCTGTTTTTTGTCTTTCCTGAAGCAGACATAGCATTTGGTTATGACCATAACCATCTTACCAAAACCAAAAAAAACAAACTCGTTGCCGTCAATTCCAACTCATAGCGATCCTATAGGGCAGAATAGAACTGCCCCACAGGGTTTCCTAGGAACGACCAGTGGATTTGAACTGCTGACTGTTTGGTTAGCCGCCCAACTCTTAACCACTATGCCACCAGGGCTCCTTAACCATCTTAGATGCTGTTTAATTAAACATATATTTCACACTAAATTTCTAACCATCTAATAAGCCCTGGTCCCTGGGTGGTGCAAACTGTTAACACGTTCAACTGCTAACTGAAAGATTGGATGTTCAAGTCCACCCAGAGGTGCCTTGAAAGAAAGGCCTGGCAATCTACTTCCAGAAAAGCCAGTCACTGAAAACTCTCTGGAGCACAGTTCTACTCTGACACACATGGGGTTGCCATGAGCAGGAATTGACTTGGTAGTGACCGATACTGCTAATGAACTCTATCACATAAATACTGACAACACTCCGAATATGTATATGTACATACTCCAACATACACACACCAAATTCATTATACAGTATGTGACCTCCAAAACCTCCCTTCTTCCTGTGTTTACAGTTTCATGGAACACACTGTCATTCACCCAGTCACACAATCTGCAAGTTTCACACCCATCTCTAACCCCTCAATCTCTAACCCATAGCCCATCAGTTCCTGGGTCTGGTTCTGCCTCATTGCTCCTGTTAATGGCTTCCTTTCCACTTCTATAAATGAGTTTTCTATGAACTTTTTAATTGCACAAGTAATACATGAATACATTCTCTTATAAAAACTGGAAACCCAAGGATTTCAAATGTATCCATATAAAGAAGTACATAGGATTTTCTTGTAGTTTTTAAAATGATCTCTCTATCCTGAGTTACACTCTCCTTTTCATTCCAGATATTTGTGTTTTCTCTTATTTTCTTAATTATTCCCTTCAGAGTTTGTAGGCTTTAGCAGTATATTTGTATACTCTATTAATATTAATTTATATTAATAAAATACAAATTATTAGTAAACTAGAGAGGACTACGCCATAGTGGTTAACAGCGTAGAGCACAGCCCGACTGCTCTATTCAAATCCCACTTCTGCTCTTACTGCGTTACCTTAGGCAAATTAATTAACCTCTCTGTAAGTCAACTGAGATTGACTCATCTGCAAAACAGGTAATAATAGAACCCACCCATCTATTAAGGAGCCCTGGTTGCACAACAGTTAAGTGCTAGGCTGCTGACTGAAAGGTTGGAGGGATTTGAGTCCACTCAGAGGTGCCTTGGAAGAAAGACCTGGTGAGCTACTTTAGAAAAATCAGCCACTGAAAACCCTATGGAACATAGTTCTACTCTGAAACACAAAGGGTCACCAAAGGAAGTATTGTTGTTGTTGGGTGCCGTTGCATTGATTCTGACTCATAGCAACCCCATGTGACAGAGTAGAACTGTCCCATAGGATTTTCTAGGTTGTGATCTTTATGGGAGCAGACTGCCATGTTTTTCTCCCACGGAGCCACTGGATGGGTTTGAACCGTCAACTTTCCAGTTAACAGCTGAGCGCTTAACCGTTGTGCCACCAGGGCTCCTTATCTTTCCTCTACAGGGAGGGAATCAGAGGGAATAAAACTGAGAGTCTGAGTCACTGGCCCAGGGTTGCTTAGCTACTAGGAGGCACAGGCTGGCTTTGAAACCCAGCGGTCGGATGCTACCTACACCCTGTGTTCACGACCACTGTACCACACTGCTTCTCACGGCCAAGCAGGAGCGGGAGGCCATTGCTGCCTGAAGGAGAAACTCAATGGTTTGTCATCTTAAACTATCTAGTATAACATACCAGACTCTTTCCCTGTGTTCCTCTCCTAGCTTGTGCTTTAGTAAGTCACACTGGCATTTATAGGGATTAAACTTTGGTAAAGGACTTATTATAAGGAGCCCTTGTAGCACAGTGGTTAAGCACTCAGCTGCGAACTGAAAAGTGGGTGGTTTGAACCCACCCAGGTGCTCCATGGGAGAAAGACCTGGCAATCTGCTCCCGTAAAGATTACAGCCAAGAAAACCCTATGGGGCAGTTCTACTCTGTTGCTATGAGTCAAAAATCAACTCTATGGCATGTAACAACAACCACCTGTCTTTCCCATTACAGACATGATGTCCTGCATAATCATAATACAATACGATACATGTCTCATATAGATTTACATATAAAGTGTTACAGGAATTCAGAAGAAGGAAACTTCTAACTAGGGAAGTTGGAGGAGGCTTTGCAGAGGAAAGAATATTTGACCTGGATCTTAAAGATAAAGATTGAAGTATGTTTTTCCATCTTCAAAATCTTCACTTGCTCCCCATTGTCTAAATAATGCCTTAGCGTGTTATTCAATGATCTCTCTGATCTAACCCCATGCTCTTGGGGTTGGGTTATATCTAGAAGTATTAACCTATGTTTTCTCTGTGTAGTCCTCTTCCTCTCTCACTTGTTCTCTGAGGGTCATTTTTCCTTCCCTAGTCCACAAGTAGAGTGTCAGCGAAAGAGAGCAAGACCCTCAACAAGATGGATTGACACAATGGCTGTAATGATGGGCTCAAGCATAGCAACGATTGTGAGGATGGCGCAGGACTGGGCAGTGTTTTGTTCTGTTGTACATAGGGTTGCTAGGAGTCAGAACTAACTCCCCCAAAAAATGT